CGTGAGGCTAGGCAATTCAGCGTTTTGTTGTGCTGTCTGGGAGCTCTCACACAAGCGCACTATTACAGAATCTCCGCTTTCTTTACCTCTCTTCAAAAGGCTTAGTCCCACTACCACAAAGAACGTCTGCTTTTCCTTCTACACTCTCACCCCCTGGTTGACAGAAGCCTTGTAACCTTCTTTACAGGTTTTGAGTCCGATTCATGCCTTGCCTTTTGTCAACCCCCCGCGCCTATCAGCTTATCTTCACTTATCGTGAGTGCTGATATGACTTTTCAAATCAGTCTTTAATGGAAACACTATGAAACAGGAAAATATCATGGGTGTATAGTGTTCGCTGCTCATAATAATTTTCAGAACGTCATCAAAATTAAGCCCCGCGGTAGACCTTGTGTCGGTGGCTAGCAAACATCCAAAGGGTAACCCCGTTTGATGTCACAGCAAGGGAGTGCCGCCAAATAGCACGCTGACACACGTCAGTTCACCTTCGTATATAAGCCAACCGGAAATCAGGATCTCGTACTAATGACGGCTATTTCGTGCCCTTGTCCCTTCGCCATTTCGACGTCCGTCCTCGAGCATTACGATAGGCGGCTCAGCATTGTTTAGGAGCACTTGAACAGGTAGGAAATCTGGTTAGTTTTCCGCAGTTAGCGTAAAACTGAAAAGATTTGTTACAGACGGGGTGAGACTGCAACTGCAAGATGGATCCTGTTGATCTCCCACATTGTGAGTGGCAGATGAAAAGGAACAGACCAGAGCTAGTCCAGGAAATACCAATCTCACTGCAGTTGCTGATGAACAGTTTGTTGTTCTCACAAGACTCGAACTCTTCATTTGGTGTCTTGCTGGATAGCCTTCAGTAATGATGGACCACAAATGAAAACAACGATTACCTGACTAATCTAATGTGTTTTCGACTTTTTCATCATAAATCCAGTTATTTATTTCCGCTTTGTTTCGCTCAGACCGTTGCCGACAATAACCGAGGTTTGGTGTGCCTCGCATAATGCTTGCAATTTCTTGATTGAGAAAATATACGTTATGGAAGGAGAATGTGACAAGGCTTATCGGGGGAATTGTCGCACATACGTAGCAACAGGAATACCACATACAGGGCTTGAAAAATACTGATGGTATGCCTCTTCGCGTTTCTTCAGCATTCTAGACTCGGCAGTTCCTCTGTGTGATCCTCCTTGAAGCTGCACTAGTGTGGGAAGGAGTGAATATCGGTCGAGGGAATCCTCAGGGGGTCATAATTGTTAGGGTGGGTTATGGGGAGTCGAACTTGTGACGGTCAGTATCATCAGTGGCATCTGGTGCAGATAAGGGAGTGCAGTGCAGAAGATAACGAATGATATATGAAAAACAAATATTACAGGGGGGGCCAAAAAAAAGACATTTTGCCAGGTCGCACTTCGGCCTTTTTTTCTTCGCAGAGATTGCCGTCGTTGACGGAAGTTCCTCAGCAAAATATTCCCTAAATGTCCTATAAGTACACGCAGGCCCTCCTTCACTACCCTCACCGTCTTCAGAATATGACGTCATCTGTCACCGTCGTCGAGCTCAGGGAGGCCTACAGTAACTGCTTCATCCTGAAGCTCTTACATAATTTCTTGGATCGGTTCAACGTGGGATAGTTTCTAGGGACATTAGCTCCAACCATGCAAACCCCTCGTCGAACCCGCACTTCGGAACCCGTCGTAACGGTACACGATCAGTCGAGAATCCCACTGAGCTCGATCCAGAGCACCATGTTTCCGGGGCAAAATTTTCCTGATGCCGTCCACGTAGATGGCCACTATGAAGATTTTCTTATGAATGAAATGCGCTCTTCAATTCTAAGTTGGGAGCACACGCTTTGAGCTGAGCAAAGTGTGATTAAATCCATTTGAGTCTGGAGACAAAATGTCTTTTTTTATTGCCCCTCCCCCTATATAATATTTTTTGCAGGATCAGTTCCATTCCTCTACCTTAAAGAAAAGGGCGCATTTGAAAGCAGTAGAAATATTGAAAAAACGCTTCTGCTGCGAGATACCGGGTACTACCTAGTACCGCATTGTATAGCGTCCCTCCTCTATGCTAGCGCCGCTCGCTGCTCCGCTTGATCGCTCGTAAGAGATGAGCAATGTTGTTGTGGACGGTGTCACAGAACGACAGTAGTGAAAGGAGCCCTGGCAAGTGAAGCTGTTCCTTAGCTTACAGGAATTGCGAAATTTGTTCAAATCACAGCTTAAAATACAGCTTCTGTCAACTGGTCACCATCAGATAACACCTCTCAATCGATTCTGCAATTTTTGCTCGTTCGTAGCAGATAGTGTCTGTGGTCTCTCGTGCAGTATGCTCATTTGCTCTCTCACATTAAAAACACGACTGAAATCGAGAGGGGGTCCCTAATTGAGCATAAAACACACAAAAAGGGTCCCTGACTTCCTCCCTGACTTCCTTTATCTGACTCTGCTAAAACGGTTGATGTCTGACGGAGGGACAAATAGATGAAGCAGTTAAAGCAACAATCCAGGAACGAATTCGCGGGTAAGGACCACCTATAATGACGTTGCAGGTGAGAAGTTGGTCAATGGAGAAAGAAAAAGTAGAAAAAACGTCGGGCAGGGGCTTAGACAGGGACTCCCCCTGCCGTTTAGGGAGACGTGTGTTGGACGAGTTGTCCGAACCTGCCCGTAGTACATGCGCTCCAATTGCAACTGCTGGCAAATAGCCATGCATGCTTGCAAATACATAACTATTTGCCAGCAATCGAAATTGAAGCGCTTCAATTGCGTCTCATGGAGACCTCCAGGGTGAATATCGGTCGAGGAAATCCTCGACAGGGGGGTCGTACCTGTTGGGCTGGTCCATGGGGGGTCGTACTCTTGGGGTCAGTAACAGAAGTGGTATCATGGTGCAGATAGGTAATAGGGTATAGCGCAGCAGAAAATGAAAACATCCGAAAAAAACATGATATTAAATTTTCTTTGCAGGTTCAGTCGCTCCATTCCTCCACCTTCATGAGAAGGGCGTATTTGAAGGCAGTACAAAGAATGAAAGTGCATCCCCGCAAAGAAGAGTGCCACATGTGCGCACGCGCTGCAAAGGCACCTCCTCCGCCTATCTCGCTCCTTAATACCTCGCTGAGAATGACGCTGTTGTTAGGGACCCTGTCGGAAAAACGACAACCGTGAAGAAAAAGCGCTGGGCAAATGAAGTTGTTTTTTAGGTTACAGGAATAGCACAACACACTATGTCTACTACAATACAGTTTCGTTCGAAGGTCCCCATCATATAACACCTTTCAATCGATTCTGCAACTGTGAGTGGAGGAGGGATGCATGGCTTATACCAATACCAAATCGGATGATGACGATTGCTCCTATTCTTATTGTTTGCGTTCAAAGATATTGTTCTAGACACATTCCGAGTGTTGCCAACGAGTCACACTTGCAATGGTGAATGAGGGAGCGGATTTCCAGGTGGCCGGATCCGACCTCGATAGATCCTCGACGCAATTATCTCTTCAACCAAAAAGCTGTAGAAGAAAACTAAACAGACCATCAGGAAGCGCAAACCTTCCGCTTTCCAAAACTATCTTCCCTTTTTCAGGATCTTACAATATAAGAGATATATTGCTCTTGAAGTGGCAAAAACTCGCGTGAAAATTTCGGCCTCCTCGACATTTACTCGACGAAATTTGACAGACCCTATCTTTCTGCAAGGAAGGCTTCCAGAGCAATTTCGATGCTTGTTGGAAACGCGAAATCCAGCTCTATCTAACTCTACCTCAAGCTGCTTCAAAGGTTGTGAAATGGAGGAATGCAACCTTTTCATCGAGGGTGTAGATTCGGACGTTTTTTTTTGAAATTTCGGCAAATCTGACCCAGTGACAATCGCGCCGCAGCTGCCGTTGAATCGGCCTTTGATACACTCGGCTGTTTTGATATACTCAAGCAAGAATCAAGATTGAATCGCAACCCCGTGTCTTCAGGATTTCTGTGCGTTTCTGAACGAACCTCGCCTTGAGGTCACACAAAGTTAATGCCTCTTTCCTCGAGTCGATATTTCAGTATGTACACAAAAGTATGCAGCGATGGAAGACGTGCATAGATGACAAGATGAAGCGTCCTTAGCATTATTTTGCAGAATTTTTTTTGATTTTTTGATTTTTTTTTGATTTTGTTTTGCAGGATTTATTTTAATTGAATTAATTTGCTCTGTTAGAGGGGGTCGTGCCAGGATCTCGATTTCGGGGGGGGTCGTACCTCTGCGACCACGTACTCGACACGATTTTCACCCCTGGCCCCAGTACAGGCGGCGGTCCCGCAACGACCGCTAGTCAAGCACGGACTCTGCACAGCGTATGTTGAGCGATCCGCCTCGGTATGAGTGATCCGCCCCCTCCAAGAGGACTTCGACCCCTTCCAGCGCATTTTAGAGGTAGGTTTTGAAATTAAAGACGAAAGGGCATAACCGAGCCGCTACAAGGCTCTGCGCGAACAAAAGCTTTGTTCCTAAGGCCACAGATTCTTGTAGAAAGCACGTTGCCCTGCTTCAACAAATCCATTATCGTGTCATGTGCCTTCAAGAATTAATTTAAATCGAAAATTTTCCCTAATGAAGTAGCCACTCAGACAGAGTACAAACAAAGTCAACATTTTTCATGCTTTTCACCTTGTGTGGATCACAGAAAATATGATTTTACCATACGCATAAAACGGAATCACATCGTGTACCCTTCAACATGGGATCATTTCGACTAGGAAATGTGGAGCCAAAAACAAGGAACAATTGTACAAAAGCGCTTACTTAACATAATGACACCGCAAAAAAGTATTATCACATGAAATGCGTGAATACAGTTCACAGTTATAAGAAAGCAAAGCAAATATCTAGCCCGTATAGAGGAGAAAGGAGGAAGTCTCGAGGAGAGAGGACGATCACGTGGTCCATTCAACCGGCACCCACTGCGGCTCGGGTCTCGAGACGTTTTAAAATGGACTTTCATCTCATCCAACGATTTGTTGAAGTCCGTGTTCACAATGATGCTGTCGAACAGATGTCCGAATTTCTGCAAGTGGAATAGTAGACCTCGAATGCAATAGTGAATAAATAAATAAATAAATAAATAAATAAATAAATAAATAAGTCCCAGGTGAAATAACCGACCTGTTCTATGCTCTTTCCTTGGCATAAAATACTCTTCAGTTCTTCATCTTTGACATTGAAATGCCCTGCGCATTCCTTTTGCCTGCGTAGCGTTTGCAATGAAGGAGGAGCGATGAACAGAATGAACGGCATGATTTCAGGTGTCCTCACAGCAATAAGTGACTGCAAGTTAAATTTTATAGAGATATCCTCCGTCTCGAGCATTTATGGGTGTGAAGCTGCGATGAGCAGTGAAAAAATCAGAGATTTCAGAGGAGCCATGGAAAAGCTATATTGAGGTGTTTCAGGTATGAAGCTTCATAATTAGCTAGCGAGCTTCATAATTATCAGCCCAGCCCGGTGGAATGTAGAAGGCTTGGTTGGCAACATTCGTTCCGGGACTTGGCCGCCGGACCGAGCGCGTGAGAAGAGGCGCAGCCCGTCACTGTACCATCTCGGTCCCCGCTAGACTGAGGTTTCCTAATGCTCTCCTTCGCTGCTCTTTTATTTGCCTCCTCCCACGCTCGGGGCATAAATTGTTTATAGCAGCTTTGGAGTTCCAACGAAAAAGAACTTTCATACAATTGTACTTTTGAATCGAAAAGAGAAGAGCTAAGTGAAACTGACTGAATCGAAGCGAAATAGCTGCTGCGAGGATTACAAAGTAGACTGAGTCAAAGCTCAAGTCGGGTCGTGACAAGTACCAAGAACCAGACCCTCCTTGAGTGAAAAAGAAGGGACTCCAAGCTTAGGAATCGGGACACTGTCCCTACTCAAATGTGCGCACGGCAAGGGTGATGAGGCCTTGCCTTGCGAGCTGCCGACGCTGCCACGCGGGTAAACCACAAATACGTGGCGTCTGTGCCCTCTCACGTACACCATGCTCTCTCGTTCCGCTTTCCTCGCACGCTGTCTCTCCATCGACCACCATCGACCTCACACGGGAAACTTTAATGTTTTCTATGGCTTTTTTTTGCTACTCATTGCACTTCTTATTTGTTTTCCGAACAGAACAGTACACCATTTCGATCCTGACCCGTACTGTGCACTAGCGCAATTTGTATTCCCACTCCCATACCACTCCTTGAAAAGCACTGGAGAAAAACGAGGCACTCGCTGGATTAGGTCCCGTTTCCATCTACGGCCGATGTCAGACTTTGCGAATCGCTGAATTCGCAAAGCCTGACATCGGCCAGTGGAGCATTTAAGGATTTTGGGCACGGGAACATCTGAGAACGAGAGGCCGTTCCCAACCATAAGTTCCTGCTGGCAAGGCAAAAGCCACGAGACAACTAATAAATTATTTCTGACCATCTAAACAGAGAATCTCTAATAAAAAAAACCTCCTGAACTCACCTCGGCCTTGAGCGTGAGTACGCAGGTTTTTGATCGTTTTATAACGTTGACAATATCTGCCGCTGCCGTTCCATAGAGGTACTTCTCATATTCTCCGTACTCAACGAATTTGCCGGCCTGAATATTGCAGACAAATGAGCTCTCCCATAGGGAATATGGCCATAAATGAAAGCATTTGAAGCCGTATACTTTTCCGATGATGGCACCTGAACCGATCAACTCATAAAAAGCTCTTGAGTTCGTACCTTCGAATCGTCTAAAAAGCGCTGCTTTGGAATAAAATGGTAGTGGATACCGTCGAGCTCGCCATCTCGTTGAGGTCGAGTCGTGTCTGAAATCGAGATTTTCAAAGCTTACACAACAAGGATAAAACTACCCATGCTTGTTTACAGCAATATTGGCAATAAAAACAGGAAACAACCCTACCTGATTCCAATTTGTAGTACATCTTCGCAAATAATAAGCCTCATTATCATTAGTTCCCCGACCCATTTCCCGTTGAATTATCGCAGTAAACTCGGGTAACTTACATGGCACTGGTCCAGCAAGACGATCTCTATCACTTTCGAGCAGTCGCTGCCGTAGCTCTAGACATCCAACCCCTTCAGGGCCGCAGAGCACCAATGGACGCTTACGATCGGTTCGTGCCAGATACAGAACCACTTCTTCGTATGTCAGCAAATCTGAAAGGATTCAGAGATTCAGATGACAAAGAAGCGACTGGTTTTTTTCTATCAGATGGGTCGTTAGGTTGCTGCGCGTCAGATACCAACTGACACTTTACCGGCCACTGACTTTGAGGCTCCCAATCTTTTCATACCCCGTATTACAGCCTTACAGTGGCTAACAGCTTAAGGAGGAATTCACGATAAGAACGAAGGTCAAAGAAGGGGAAAATTGCATAGTTGGGAGACAGGCGGACCTCCTGAGGGTGCTGACCGACGCGCAATTGGCAGCGAAAGATTTGACCTCGGCGATCTAGCATGGCTCACTCTTGGCGCGGTTGGCGGGGTACGCCCACCGACTATCTAATCACTCGCTATACGTGATTAGATAGCAGAGAGAGCGTAGTGTTGAAGAGGGCACAGCGATGAGAGTCGCATCAATGCGCAAATCAACGGGCAAGGAAGGGGTCCCATTTCTCGGGTTCTGGGCCGTTTCTCATGGTTTTTCCTTCTTTCGTGTACCACTCACCATCCCTAGTTAATTTGAAATGGGTTGCTTTTTCATCGTGAATTCGTCCTTTAATGGTGCGAATCACAGGTCATTTCCCCAATACATTTCCACATATAAGAAATCACCTGAGTGGTAGCCAATGCTGTTTCCCACTGGCTCATCGGCGCTGCGTTGAACCTCTTTGGAGCTCTTGCGACCTAACGTTCGAATGACCTGAAAGAAATGATAAACAGATTAAAATCATAAAGTGATCGATGTTAATCATTCCCTTTTCGCAATAAGCTGGGATTCACTTTTCACGCCTCCCCTCCCCCCTCTGCCTGCGCCCGTAGTGGGGTGCTCAGACGTGCAAAGAACTCTTATCTCAGCTTTACTACTTACCTCCTGTAATTTCTTCCTCGACTCGGTCCGACATTTGGGCAATTCATCTTTTTCAATCTCGTCCATGTAGAGAACGACTCTGAAAGAAATGTTTGGAAAGAATCCTGAAGGGGATGGTTAAAAACGAAAAGAATGCGCCGGGAAGACGCAGAACTGACTGTTGATGGAAGCTTGAGCTTGGGATGAGGCCAGCCAGGGACTGCGAGTGATCGTCACCTTCGCGGTACGCCTGCCACCAATTTTCGTCTTCCGTACTGAGCACGTGCAGAATGTCTCCACGTTGGAATTTCAAGGCCAATTCTTTACACGGAACGTAGATGTCGTCCTGAAGAGGTATTGATGTGTCATTAAGTCAGCACATTCTCCTAAAGACTTTCACTCGAGGAAGCA